AAACAAAACTTAATTAATCGAATTTAAAATGGACATTGTCTAATATTTATAAGAATTATATAAACTGAATTGCAAAGTTTATGACATTAGGCTTTAGAACTTTAGCTAGAAAAAAATTAAAATTCAAATTATTTTCGATATTCAAAAAATTTTTTTTGGAAATTAAAAGCAATCGTTTTGTCAACACAAGTAGAAAGCTTTTTGAATCATTTACATCGCATGCTTATTTCTCTCAAAAACTACCATCTTGCATAGTATCTACGAAACGGATGGGCCTGCCTTTGCCAAAAACTAATCACAACTTCTCTTCGTCATTACGCATTGAATGTGTTTTTGGATCATTCAAATCGTATGCTCCGTTCTCTCAAAAACTCGATATCTATACTCCGCACTCTTTCCACCGTATCTCCGAAGCGGCTGGACCTGCCTTTGCCAAAAACTAATCAGCACATCTCTCTATCAATAGAAATCAAATATTTTTTTAAGTATTTAAGTCAGATCATTTGTGCGCCCGAAACGTGGACGAAAATTGTATCCATAACTACATACATACACATACACATGCACACATCTATTCTTTTTAGGTATGCCAAAATGTTCAGAAACGTTCAAAACGTGAAGAAATGTAAAAAATTTCAATTTCGATTTTTGGACGATTACAATAAATTACCCTACGCGAAGTAAATAAAACATATGACATATGACATTTAATCAATCGGGAGAGTTCCACGATCGTCGACAACGCTCAGCAAGTGACAGTCCCTTCTATCTTTGTACACTTTATATAATGGAAAACATATGAGGACTAGCAGTCCATGTAGTATAAGGACTATCTATGATGTATATGAAATTATATGTTTTGATACAACCTAAAATAGTATAAATGAGAAATAATATATTTGAGTCAGAGACACTTTGTTAATAAATATTGATTGTTTTCTAACAGATTAGAACTTAAGAATCCTATGAGTTTGTGATAATACTTCCAAAGTATTTTTTACAGCCTCTCGACTGGTATCTTTAATGTATTTTTTATGAAAAATATTTCTATGTGTTGTAATTTGTATAATAAAGTAACAAATAAATTTTTATTACAACTAGCTTGATTTAGTCTTATTGCTCAACATGAAGGTTTTAGGTAAGATTTATTTATTACAATTACTTTATTACGCCTTAGGTTTTTTTATAATTTTGGACCACATATTCGTATGATTAATTGTATTAATTATACTATATTTTTAGGAAACCGATTCTACGCAGATACTACATCGATGGACTCTGAAAAAAAGAATACTAGAGAATGGGTATTCTCTTGCCCAAATTGCAAAAAACAATACGCTTATTTAAGCGCAAGGAACAAACATTATGCAACATGTAAACAAATCTACAATCCTGAAGGAGTTAATTCTGGAAACTTTTTAAATGTCCAAAATGCTCTAAGTCATTTAAAATACGTAATAGTTTACATCGTCACGTTAAACTAGAATGCGGACAAGAACCGAAGTTTTGCTGTCGTTGGTGTTCATATAAGTGCTACCAGAAAGTTCGACTTCAAAAACATGCTTATGCAAAACATAATTACGTTTTAAAATAGTAATGGAAAAATATATATTATAAAAGGGTAGAGCGGGGCTTGAAGGTCCGCGGGCGAAAACGTCTACCACTGATATCTCAATAATAAATAACGTTAAGAATTTTTTAACAACAATATTTGAAAGTAGAGGGAAAAGGGTGATAATCAGCCATCACCTCGATTCTTACGCTGTTGCTATGGGAATATAAACCCAGATTTGAAAATCTATAACATAAGTATTTTCATTCGTTGTTAGTTTTTTTTGGTTGTGAGCACTGTTGTTTATTTTAAAAGACTTTAATATAATTTTTAAGTATAGGTTATTTAATTATTTTATAAAAAGTATTGCTAATTTTAAGTTAGATTTAACAGTTTTTTTTATATAACCTCGATAAAAGCTTACATGTGCGTGGGGTAAAAAGGACCAACTAAACCTTTACCATGGCAAAGGTGTGAACAATAAAAAATAGTAAATAAAAAAGTAAATTAATTTAAAAAAAGCAATTTTACAAGAGATAAATTAATAAATAGTGATTCCAACTATACTGATGAATATTTCTGACAAAATATTCAAGGTTGTATGCAGTGTTATCTCTGTAAAAAAAGTACGCATGAAATTTATATTTTGCATTGTTTGAATAAAGTAGCTATTATTTTGTAAAATGCCTTTAAAATTAAAATGAAGACGTTGGACTTAGTGACCCCTGGCCGTCCGATTTTACTAGGCCAATGGGGTAAAAAGGACATATTTTGGAAAAACAGCAAAAATAGCACATTTCTACAATGGTGAATTAGCCGGCAGTTTTATTGATCATTTACTAAGATGGTTGTTAATTTGATATGTGTCATTTGTTGTGATATAATTGGTTTGGTTTTTACAATATAATTGCTCAAAGGCAAATTGGACCTTTGTGCCCTGCCTTACACTATCTGATGTCTTCAGATATTTTTATAATATAATGAACATTAGACTAATAACACTAGACTATCATTAGAGCAAAAGAAGTTTGTGCTAAGCTGCTATCATATAATAATATGAGAAATTATTATCTGAGAATATCTTATATAACTTTATTATAATAATAATTTAACAAAAGAAGAAATGAAATAAATATATGTGACATGTAGTTTGAATGAGTATATACTTATATGGCCTTGTTATTATTAATTTACCCTTTACTTGATAATAATAATATTGTTAAATTAAATATTAAAATTAAAATTCAAAGAGTTAGCGTGTATTTTAGCATTATACTATTATTGTGTATCATATTTATAGTATTTATTTTAATTTGATCGATCATAAGTTAAATAAAACTTATTACACGAAACGCGTCAGGTATATTGATTGTATATCCCAATTTTTCTGATTAAAAATATATTAATTTTTACTTTATTATTAACATTTTATTATTATTTTCAGGTGACAGCTTCTATGAAAATACTGGGTACGATCAGAATAGTCAATTCTACGATATTAACGATCCAAACAATCTCTATATTTCACCGACAAGTTTTTGTTGTTCGAATTGCAACAGATTTTATAGGCATAAAAGGACTCTTCAGAGACATTTGAAATTTGAATGTGGAAAAGAAAAAACTATTTAAATGCCCAATGTGTGCCTATAGGAGTCATCAAAAGATCACAATGCAGAAGCATTGCGAGAGAAGACATCAAAAATATATTTAATTTAAGAATGTTAAACTGTTGTTGAATATTAGTAATAATAAATAATAAATAGTAGTTTGCTCGAAGGCAGGTTCATGGTGTGAGAGCACCACAAAATCTATGATTTTCCTCCCCTCCCTTGTTTATTATTTCCATTACCGTTTTATTACCATTAATTAATGGCCATTAATCACTTTATATTCGTTTTTATGAATTTTCCTTTCCTAACTTGTACTTCCTTGTCTTCTGGTTCTGTCAGTGGCGGATCTAGCTTCAGCGTCAGGGGGGGGTCATAATTGAAAAGTTTTTATAGTCCTCAATGAGTATGTAACAAATATATATATATATATATATATATATATATATATATACATATATATAAGATAGAGCGGGGCTTAAAGATTTGCGGGTAAAAAGGTCCACCGATATCTCAAAAACAAGTAAAGTTAAGGATTTCTTAACATCAATATTTGAAAGTAGAGGAAAAATGTACAACCAGCCATCACCCTGATTCTTACGACGTTAAAAAAACCATTTTTACAAAAGATAAATTAAATAAATCTTTACTTCAGCTCTGCTGGTGACTATTTTGGACAAAATATCAAATCAAGATTATATACAGAGTTATCTCTGTGAAAAATGTATCTATAAAATTCATATTTTTCATTGGTTGAGTAATGTAGCTATTATTTCGTTAAATCCCTTTAAAATTAAAAATAGTAAATTGGATTGTTTATCCTCTCGCCGTCCGACTTTCCACGCCTTTGGGGTAAAAAAAGACCAAGTGACAATTTTTTTAAAAACAGCAAAAGAAAAACATTTTTACAGTGATGAATTAACTGGAGGTTGTACTAAAACATAGTCAGATGGTTTTTTGTTTAATGTGTCTTATTGGTTTTTATGTTTTTCGTTTAGTTTTCACAATATAATTGCTCAAATTTACTTAGCCTTACCTTATATATGTGCACTTTTTAAAAAACAATCTGCGTCTTTGACGTGAGTCAAAATTCGATCTTTCCTCGATGTTTTCTCGTCTAAACCGATGTTAAAATTTAAAAACTATAAAATGAAACTGGATAAGCGCTTGCGTTGATTAGTTTTTTGAGACAATTGGTCGATCCGTTTCTTTACTATTGGCAGAAAAGTGGAAAAATTATCGTCCATGTTTTTGTCAAAAATTCTTAACCGTTTTTTATTCGATTGATATCATTTGGAAATAAATGGTTTCTGTCGAAGATCGGTCAAGTCGTTTCTTTTTCATAATAGATTGTCATTTTTTTGGCGATTTAAGTGAAACTTTGCATGGCGATAGATTTTCTGCTCTAAATGAACGTACTAAACTATAATAAGGCCTGCGACAAGCGGTTTTACTTATGATAATTAAAGTTTGGATTATTTGGCCGCGCTTTTAAAAAATTCACCATGTGTATGTATTCGGCTTCGTAGTTTGTATGTGTTCGTTTTCCATCAATGTGTAATAATCAAACAATTTTTTAACTAGTTTGTATTGGTATTTTGCCTTTAGGCAAGTTACATAAACTTCCCGAAATGTGTTAATAATCGCCTTAATCAGTAAAAAATAAATTAATTTATGAGGGATTCAAGGTATTTCCAGTGGATTTACAATATCACACATAATTGAAAACGAAGACGTTAACTCAGAGTATTTTCTAAAGGCAATTGAACCAGTTGCCGTAGGATTTTAATGGTTTAGTATGTTCATTAAGACCAAGTACTCTATCGATAAACCAAGTAAATCGTCTACTTTTAATTTTCAGAATGGCTTGAAACGTCAAGAAAACATAAAATTAGCGAATCGGATTTTTTGATGAAAACATAAACTCCTCCTTCGGGAAGTTAAAAATAACTACTATAGTTGAAAAAAAAATTTCCCAATAATAGTTTCCCACTTCGAAATGGTTTACAGCGATTAGTTATACTTCTCTAAATCAGTCATTAATAACTTTCCGTAGGGTAGTTATAGTAATGGGCCGAAAATCTAAAATGATTTTTTTTTGCATTTCTCGACGTTTTGATGGTTTCTGAACACTTTAGCATACCTCAGAAAAAATTGATGTGTGTGTGTGTTTTGCATGTCCGCAATTTTTCGTCCACGTTTTCAGGCGCACGGATCAACCGATTTGAATGGTTTAAAAAACATTCGATTCTTATTGATAGGGAGATGTGCTGATTAGTTTTTCGCAAAGACAGGTCTAGCAGTTACGGAGATACGGAGTAAAGAGTGCAGAAAATACAAATCGAGTTTTTGAGAGAACGGAGTATCCGATTTGAATAATCTAAAAAACATTGAGTTTGTAATGATTGTGAGATGAGGTGATTAGTTTTTGGCAAAAGCAGATCCAGCAATTTCGAAGATACTGAGCTAAATGTGCAAAAAATGGCAGTTTTTAAGAGAACTGAGCGGCCGATTTGAATGATTCAAAGAACTTTCTGCTGTTTTGGCAAAATAATTGCTTTTGAAAAAAATTTGGCTTAATTTTTTTTTCAAAACTTTTTTTTGTATATCGAAAATAATTCAGATTTTAGTATTGATTCTGACTAAAGTTGAAAACTTATATACTTCAAATAAATAGTTTTAACTTTGCAATTCAGTTTATATAATTCTTATAAATATCAGACATTGTTACAATATTTATAATAATCTATTTGAAAACATTTAGTATTTCTCGAAAATTTTGTTAAGGTACGGGAAGTTCCAGCAATTTGCCTTAAGGCACAATGCCATACACCCCACTAGTTTATATATTGATTAAGTTGTCTATTTACAGATGTTAGGATTACTGAAAGTTCATGCATAAGGACCACTCACAACGAGTTTAATTTTTTTATTTTTGAATGAAATTTTGTTCCTAAACTGAAATAAAACTTATATTCGCAATACGATTAAAAAATCCTTAAATTTTAGGGTTTTTGACTCCGTCATTCGTCTACAATCAGTTAAATATTCAAGTTATAAAATGTGTTTGGTAACAAAATACATAAATAAAATCATTATGAAGTAATTTTGTTGTTGAATTAGCGCTTTATCTAAGTCCTAAAACAGACTCAGGGGGGGGTCATGACCCCCGTGACCCCCCCCCCTGGATCCGCCACTGGGTTCTGTGCTTCGACTTTCAGTTCTCTGCATTTTCTCTTCTTGCATAAGTCATCATCAGTAATAGATAATTATTACTAAATGTTGAAATCCATATTTAAAACAAAACATAATTCAAAACATAAAAATCGAAAATGAAAATGTTTATATATCTTTACGTTTCAAAGGTTATATTTTGACATACCTTAGAAAAAAATGATGTTTGTGTGTTTGCGTGTGTGCGGATACAAATTTTTGTCGGCGATATCGGGAACACCGATCAACCGATTAGTTTTTGGCGAAGGCAGGTCTAGCCGTTTTGAAGATACGGAGCAAAAAGTGCAAAAAATGGCAGGTTCGAATGATTGATGACATCGGCCGATTTGAATGATTCAAAAAACATTTTATTTGTATTAATGGAAATTAATTTGTGGAGACGTACTGATTAGTTTTTGGTATAGGCAGGTAACTACTAATGTTCAACTTTCAGCAAAATAACAAAAAAGTGATCTATTTGTACACAAGTAACATGTTATTATTAAAAGAAATAGAATAAAAAAAACTTGTTTCTGACTCTTCAAAAGAAATACTGTCTACAGAACATTTTAATGTATGGCTTTAATGCGGAGTTAATGCAATAACGGAAACTTGTTCGCACAAACATACTTTATATTTTTTTGCTTTGAACCCTATATTTTCAAAATCGGTATATTTTAGCTATTATGACGACTGTTACTACAGTACCTTGGCACAACCGTTCCCAGTCTCCCCTAATAATTAATACTACAAAACATATATAAGTTAACTCACTATAATAAAAATTTACGGTGATATTCCAGAGTTTTATGAGAGGCTAGTAATAAATTATTTAAAATACTTTAAATAATATATTAGATTTTATTATAAATATACTAATTAGAGAAATATTTATTCATATATTATCTATATGTAAATACTGTAAATATTTTTTTTTATTTTCTTGAGAACTATTTCAGAATAATGAAGATAAATCAGTTATTTTGAATATATATGAATTTTATTGACCAAGTTTAGACAGATGTTTCTCATTCACTTGTATTTTTTCATATATTTTTAATGGATTATAATAAGTTTATTTGGTAATTGGTTTATTATAATTTTTGTAATAAGTAATTGGTCTATCACGGTTTATTTTAAAAATGAATAATAAATATAAGTATTTTAGCAAAATTGTATATAAATAAATATAGGCCAGAAAATATAACACATGAATTTTTTTGTTTGGGATTTTATAAATTTTCAAAACATATTGAAAAAATTTTGGTATAAATTCAAAGTTTTGTTTCTATCAATACTGTAAATATAAATGTGCAATTGCTAATTTGCTTCTAAATTATATTTTATATTTTATTTTATTATTAGAGTAACATTGAACATGGGTTTTAATTTTATTGTATATAACTTGTATTGTACACATAAAAAGCATGTAAGCTGTAAAAAGTTAAACATATCACTTATTTTTCAGAAACAGTTTATAAATATATTGGTGGAATATATAAATATTGCACATATATTTTATTACATTCTATTGTACATATACAAAATCATTGAATTTGCTTGTTCATTCACTTTCATAGATTCGAATACTATTTTGCATTAAATAGCGAAATGTCTGTAAAAATTTCTTCTACCTTCTATCCCACATATCTATTAATTTCACTGATTTTTGTACCCTCAAAAAACATATTAAAATATTTTATAATTCCAGGTAAATTTCGCGATATGCAAGCTTTTGTCGACATGGCAACTTTCTTTAGTCAACCAAATATAAGGAGAAGATTTTCCAAAACGGTTCCAACCATGGAAGACGGTGTTCCTAAATGGCAGTGTCCAAAGTGCCAAAAAGTCTACAGACACAGAGAAAGTTTACAAAAACATTTAAGACTGGAATGTGGAAAAGATCCACAATTCTTTTGCTCCATGTGTCCTTATAAAAGTCATCAAAAAATCAATCTTCAAAGACATGCTTTGAGACATATCAAAGGGTACTATAAAAACTGTTGATGTCGTTGATAATTGTTGATAATTATTCTTAGATAAGTATTTATTCCTATTTTTATACAAAGAACTGTTGTATTTTTAGAAAAAAATAATAAATACGTATATTTTAGTTATCTTTATGTAAAATAATATTAGTATTATATATTTTAAGAGGGTTATAATGGTTTTATAGTTGTTATTAATTAATAAGTTTAATTTATAGAGTTGCATGTTAGTGAATCTACCTCAGGATAAAGTCTATATATGTATATATTGTTGAAATATGTGTGATTCAATCAGGCAATACATCAATTAAAAAACTGTAAAAATTTATAAAAATTTTATTATACCAACATGGTCTGGCAGATATCTTAATTTTCAATCCTATCATCCAACTAGCATGAAAATTGGTACTATCATCAATTTAGTTGATCATGCTATTCTACTTTTAGATAAACAATGTTAAATTTTTAACATATCCTTAATCCATAAAACTTTAATAAATAATTGCTATCCCTCAACACAAAACACTATCATCCCTCCCTCGTGTCCCAGAAAAAAGAAGATAACAAGTTTGTTGGCACTATATGTCTTCCATACATTAAAAATCTTTTCCCGTTTTGAAAAAAACTGTTTACTTTTGCGGATTTGCGTTTAGTCTGTAATATTGATCGGACTCGGAATTTTCAAATTTAAAATCACCCACAAGTGTAGATCATGCCTCTAACATTGTTTATAAAATTGACTGTAAGAACTGTGAGGCTGCTTATGTCGGCGAAATGGGACAACATTGAATAAAATGCCTGAAACAACATTTTAATAACTCCAAAAATAAAAATTAGAATAAAACGATGATAACGGACCACATCATTAGCTTGAATTATTGTTTCAATTTCGATGTTGCTACAATTTTAAATCACGAGTCGAACGTATCACAGAGACGCTTTTCAGAATCATGTTTTATACAATTGTACAAAAATAGTATAAACAAGAGAAATGATACTTCTTCGCTGAGAATTACCAAGTAGTTTTAAACAGTGTTTCGAAGTTCATTTTTTTAAAATAACCGCCCATTCCTGACATTTCAAGATTGAATCTCATATATATATATATATATATATATATATATATATATATATATATATATATATAATATTTTTTGGTAATATATTGAAAACAAAAGGTAGGTACGATTCGCTAATATGTTTTTATTTAATATTAAAATATCTTTACAATTTACAGTAAGTTTAGTTAATACATATTCTTATATATTATGTTATTTACAATTTATTGAAATAAATTATTACAAATAAATATTTGTTCACTATAGTTGCATACGTATATATGATATTTGTTACCTGTTTATTCAGTGTGTTTCAGGTAACAAGTTGATCGATATCCACTAAAAACTAATATTACAAATATTTTTGTTTCAGGTAGCTCTATCGATTTTGTCTATGAACAGTTCAATATGACTACAAAAGGAATCTTAAACCCGAATTATCAAAATCATGTTTGTGAAAAATGTAACAAGTCTTATGCAGCACACACGTCTCTGAAAAGACATTTACGTTTTGAATGTGGAAAAGAACGTAATTTTTTCTGCAATTATTGTTCTTACAGGAGTCATCAATTTTGTACATTGAAAAGACATTGTTTGCGAATACATAATGAAACGTTGATGACTTATAACGGTTATAATGCCCACCAATTTTAATCACTACTGCCACTCTAGACAGGCCTATGAGTTAAGTTAAACTCCAAGTCGATTCAGGGATGAAAAGCGTGAGAAATTTTCCAACGATATGAAAACTTTATGTTCCAGAGGTTTCTGAACATTTTGGCATACCTTAGAAAAAATGGAAGCATGTGTGTGTGTGTATGTCCACAATTTTTTGTCCTTCATTTCGGGCACGGATCAATCGATTCTTACTGATTAGTTTTAGGTAGAGACGTGCTGATTAGTTTTTGGCAAGGACAGATCCAGCCCGTTTGCAGATACGAAGCATAGAGTGCAGAAATAGAAATTAAGTTTTTGAGAGAACAGACCATCCGATTTGAATGATTCAAAAAACGTTTAGATCGTAATGATGAAGAGAAATAGTGATTAGATTTTGCCAAAGAAAGGTGCAGACGATATAGGGCTAAATGTGCAAAAATTGGTAGTTTTTGAGGGAACGAAGCATCCGATTTAAATGATTGGAAAAACCTTACACTTGTATTGACAAAAAGCAAAAAAAAATATATTTTTTTAATTTAAATTCTAAAGCTCACTTGGAATAAGTAATTTTAACATTGTAATTCAGTTTATATAATTTTTAGAAAAGTGTAACTCCGCTTCATTAAGTTTTTTTTATTTACTTTATATTTATTTTATATAAACGTCATCGTCCAATTTATGAGCTTATATATGTTGTCTATAAAATAGAATATTGAAAGTTACAGTATTTATAATAATATATTTGAAAACCTTCAACATTTTTCGTATATTTCATTACAATACAGGAAGTTCCAGCAATTTGCCTAATGGCACGATGGATACATACATCACTAGTTCAAATGAAAATTGATATTACTACTGCATACCAAGTTACCCGCGGAAGTTTGAAATCACAACCTGTGTGTGTGCGAGTGTGCGTGTGTGCATGTAATGTATACATTTTTCCTATACTATTAGTTTATTCTATCTGAAGTTTATTATAAATTGTATATAAAATGTTTATTGTATATTTATTAAATTAAATGTATACATTTAATATAATATATATTAATATTTTTAATTATTTAGTTATCTGACCTTAAAGATAAAATTATTTTTATGAACTTTTGAAACAAATAAAAAAATCTTTATTTGTTTAGTTTGAAACAAATTATAAAAAAATTAAAAGATTATTAAATCATAAAAACTATATTTTATTACTACTTGCAAATAAACATAAATAAGATAAAATGAAAATGATCTATTTATATGAAATTGTGTTGAATTAGTTCTATAAATAATATTATAATTAAATAACATATACTATTTTATTTAAATAATGTATTTATATGTACATTAAAATTTGTAATAAAATTTACAAACAACAATTTTCATCATAAAAATGTTTTTATTATATTTTTCAGATTATCTGCAGCTTTAGATGAAATGATTATTTTTAGTTACAATTTGTGTTGTGTTTATTTTAAAAAATATAACTATTATTATGTAATATTATAATTTATGATTGTGCTTTCTGTTTTATGTTATATTTTTGTTTTTAGATAGATTGACTAATTTTAGGTAAGTTTGTTTGTCATTATTGTTTTTTAAAAATCACTTATATTTCTTTTACATTTATCAGTTGATTTTAATATTAATATTTTTTATTAGCGTTGTTTGATGAAATTTATTTGTTTATTAAATATTAATAATTTGATTAATTTAAAATTCTTCTATTACTGTTTTTTATTTGAGTAAATGTATATTTCAGAAACAGTATCCTATAGTATACAGAAAATTTAAAATATTCGATTTTTGCAAATAAATAACATTTGTAATGTAACATTTTTTAATAACAGTTTTAGATGTTTTTACTAATTTAGTTGTTTGATGTTTCAGATCCATCCAGCTTAAATTTTGATGACTTAACTTTTTTAACCTGTTCGAAGTGCTGGAGGTCTTTCACGGAGTACCTGCCTTTCAACCGCCACATTTTGAATTGTTCTGCATCTCATCCAGAAGTAGATGAAACTAATAAGAAATTTCAATGTCTAAAATGTGGAAGAAGGTATATAATAATAAAATCAAATTTTGTGCCTTTTATATTTTTAAAATATTCCAGAATTAATTAGTTCATTCAGAACTTTCGACTAGAGTTTGTACTTTTCCTAGAAAACATAATTCTATGATCTTTATTTAAATTTTACATCGTTTGTCATGTTTCAAATTCTTGTCATTTAATTTACTTACATTATTATGATATAAATAAAAAATATTACTAAACCTAAATGATTTATTTTATTACAGATACAAGAACCAGTGCACTTTGTCCAGCCATATAAAATACGAATGTGGTAAAGCTCCACATTTTTCCTGTCCATTTGCCATAGAAACTTCCACGTAAAGTCGAATATGAAAAGACATATGAAATATATACATTCTAAAGATGATATCATAACAAATTGAATGATTCCAAAGCTTAACCTAGTCATTTTATATTTAATAAATTTAAGTATACTTGTAGCATATATACATAGATTTATTTAGTTCTTACTTTAGACGTTTCTAGTCCAATTTAGCCAAACTGCATAGGTTAGTTGATTTAGTTATATTATGACTTATCCCAAATTATGATCTTAAATAATCTAAAAATATTTATTTTATTTTATGAAATATAAAGACAACATTTATTGGAAATATTCTAAATTACTTACATAAATATTTTAAGCTTGTGGGTGGCGTATGTTTGTGATTTTTATTTTATCTTAATTTTAGATTGCATTGGATTTTGAATCAATATATATATATATATATATATATATATATATTATATAAATTATTTCAGAAGTTATAGTCTGAGTTTCTTATAGTCTTTCATACCAAAGTGTCCTCTAGTTCTAGTTTGAATATTTATTGGGACTGTAAATATACCAAATATGTATGAAATATCTGTATGCCAAAGATAAGAAAATAGTTATATATAATTTATTTTAATACAATAAATTAAAAAAAATAATACAAATAAATATTTCAGATTTTTTTATTGTTTGTCTTAATTTTTCAGAGAAGCGCAATTGCAGAAATAGAAAATAGTTGGAAATAATCATTAGCAGGATTTGTACATGTAAATTTATTTTGTTGTGTTAATTTTAGAAATGAATTTGTTTAATTAATTTGAATTTATTTTGTGTAAATGATATAAATAAATGAATCTTGGAAATAAAGCTATTATTTTTGGTACATGTGCTCTTTAGTTTCCTGATTTTTATCTCTGGTTTATAATAACTTGATTTTTATTTCAGAGTTTTTTCATTAAAAATTTTTCTTGTGTCATTATTTTTCTAATTATATTTATTTTTCTTTTTCAGGGGTTTCAAAAAACAAGGACACAGAGAGCTACATAGTCTCAGAGGTGTTAGAAAACCAAATTTTTAAGTCGAAAGAAATATACCCATTATTCTATATATATAGACACATATGAAGTTGCAATGTGGGGGTAGAACCTCAACTCAAATGCGAATATTGCAATAAAAAAGTTCCCATTCAAAATAAATTTTGACAAGCACCTTAAAATTTACATTTAAAAAAAATACAATCTCATTACAGATGCATTCAAAGAGCTTTTATTTTAAATATGAAATGTGATTTTTTAACAAAACATTGCACAAAACTGACAAACGATAGCCCTCATCAAGATACATCAAATAGCTTTTAAATTTCTGAAAACGGTTCAGGCGTTTTTGAGAAAACGTCGATGAAAGGTCTAATTTTAACAAACGCCAAAAAACGATACTAATTTTTTAAAATTAAACGATTTGTCGTAGGGCCTTCAAGTTTTAGTATGATATAGATTCTATAAGACCATGGTATCTATCGTCAAAAAAAATTCATAAAAATCATCGAAAAAATTTGTTTTAGCATTTTATTACAAGAGAACGACCAGGGCGATATTTACCAAAAACTAATCAGGTCGATTTCCAACCAATATCTTTCGAACAGTTTTTGAATTTTCAAAATCGATTCAGAATTGCGGGCTGAAACGTGGACGAAAAACTTTCCACTTTTCTGCTATTTACAAAGAAGCGGCTTGGCTGATCGTCGCGCAAAATTGATAAACGCTAGTCCTCATCGAGATACATCGAATGGATTTAAAATGTTTGCAATTGATTCAGCCGTTTTTGAGAAAACTTGGATTTACGGCAAAAAATCTGTTCACACCACACACACTACATACTTTTTTCCAAATTTGGTCTTATTCGATTCAGAATGGCTTGAAACGTC